TTAATTGTCATCTAATCGAAACTCATTGTCATTTATTCAATAAATGGCTTATTTACAAATTGAACTTGTTAAACAGATGATAATACATGATAACAATTATGTCATGGTAAATAAAAATAAATAATTTAAGCAAAAAAAAAAACGATTGATGGAATAATCTGGCTAAGAGATGGTAGAGAAGATTTGTAGCTCAGGTAGAAATGATTTTGATGGAGTTTTGTTCTCTGAGCTCAGAGAACAAAACTCCATCAAAATCTTGCTAAGAAGAAAACAAAACAAAAAGATAAGTCAAACGTTAATTTTGAGACTAATAGTTATTAGATCATAGAATAATGTTAAATTTGAAGAGACACATACTAGAACGAAACAGTTGTCTAATGTTGCCACATTTTTAATGGTGAATTAGCTTACATCAATTCATGAATTCAACTAGTAAAATCAATAATGAGTTAATAACTGTTTAGTACTATTTTCCAGACTCATCAGTGATTCACTATCATGATTTAATATAGGCTAATATTTATTGCATAATAACTCTTATAATAATCAGGATAGATGTGGACTTTCACTCGAGAACAACTATATTTTCGCCATGAGTGTCTTCGCTAGCATGTTCTACCAACAAGTGTAAGATATAGACCTCCAATCAACTGCCCATTAGGATGGAAAATAGCTGAGCAAAGTGAAAGAAAAATGGTACACCTAATAATAGTGGACTATAATTTATGGTTTAGTTAGTTTATAATATAATACTATATAATGTCCACTTTAAAACAACCCTTTATTCTCTTAATTAGTTCATAGAACATCATTATTATTATTAATTTGATAAAATACATTGTATTCACTGACTATATCTTATGTCAGTAGTGAATGTCACAGTCAGATATTTTATTACACGTTACATTAAGGTCTTACTATTGATTGTTTTCAATCAAAAAACTAGTCAAACATGACATTGATCGTTGCTAAGTGATCAGTCACTTGTAAAAATATCTCAGTTATTAAAACTTGATTAAGTGTATACCGAATACTTTATTGTTAATGTGTAAGATTGTAAAGTTGAGTGATGCGGTTCCAAATCCTAAGATCATCAGTTCATCATGTTGCAGCAATTTGGAAGACTTTCCCGGTCTCCCACATTGTACGAGTATTCCATAAATGGTTTCTCTGGTTGTCAGAAGAGCCATCGGCCTCGTGACTTCCGAAGAAACTCGGCTTTCATCATGAGGCGTCATAATTCGCCTAAATGAAGATCTTTTGACTTCCAGGGCAGATTTTTAAAGGTTTTAATAATTTTTTCTGGTTAGCGTTTTATGAGCGAGTTAGCTTTCTACGGGATGGCGTCGCTAACCATGGAATTTGTCATCTGGATACTTAAATTACATCTCAATATTGATTTATATGTTGAAACTCAAAATCTAATACCTTTCATTTCGAACTGTTAGATAGCTGTTACATATACAAGTGTTCTTTTGCTTTTTTTTCCCGCCTAATTATCAATTTTGTAAGTATTATTACTTTTGATTTTTTTTCTAAATTCTGGACAAATGTACGTTCAAACAAAAAAACTAGCCAAAATCATCATGAGTTACTTTTCTATTGATTAGTTTTTTCCTACACGTGATTTCATTAAATTGAAAGGGAAAATAATATTTATCCAATGTAATTGAATATAAATGATGGCTAATGATTTAATAATTCTAATCATTAAATTATGCGATTAAATAAAGATTAACCATCATCATCATCATCATCATCATCATCATCATCATCATCATCATCATCATCATCATCATCATCATCATCATCATCATCATCATCATCATCATCATCATCATCATCATCATCATCATCATCATCATCATCATCATCATCATCATCATCATCATCATCATCATCATCATCATCATCATCATCATCATCATCATCATCATCATCATCATCATCATCATCATCATCATCATCATCATCATCATCATCATCATCATCATCATCATCATCATCATCATCATCATCATCATCATCATCATCATCATCATCATCATCATCATCATCATCATCATCATCATCATCATCATCATCATCATCATCATCATCATCATCATCATCATCATCATCATCATCATCATCATCATCATCATCATCATCATCATCATCATCATCATCATCATCATCATCATCATCATCATCATCATCATCATCATCATCATCATCATCATCATCATCATCATCATCATCATCATCATCATCATCATCATCATCATCATCATCATCATCATCATCATCATCATCATCATCATCATCATCATCATCATCATCATCATCATCATCATCATCATCATCATCATCATCACATTCGTCATCAGTATCGTTGGTTTATTACTGATAGAGAAGAAACTTTGCCGAGATAATCGACCTTTTTTCTCTACTGTCGTTTAATTTATTCGTATATATATGTCTATAATAGGAACAGGTAGGTAGGTAGATAAATAGGTAGGCAGATAGATAGGTAGGTAGGTAAGTAGGTAGATAAACAACTTCCCTGAAAATAGATTTTAATGGTTGCAAAGCTTCATTTTGTATTGTTGGTCAATAACCATTGTTGATTTTATGATAATCATTATATTAGTTGTTATTATCATTATTATTTATTAAGTAAGGTGATAGGCAAGTTGAATAATAAAGACTGTAATAACAATAATATTGGTAATTTAATTTTCGCACTTGTTTTTAATGGTGAATCAAAACAAAAAATAAATATAGAAATTTGGATGAATAAGTTAGAATGCAAAAAGAATAATTGATTACAAGTATTATATTATGGTTTTTATATAACAGGTAATTAAATAAATGAAAATAAATGAGAGGGGATTTTCGGAGTTCTAGTGAGAAGCTGTCACCAGTAGATCTAATCCATGTCGTGTGTGAGGCAGTTAACCATCAAAGAAAATGGAAGGTGGTTGTGCAATATCGTGAATTGGTTGAAGTTAAACATTAATACCGTTAGATGCTGTCTCAGTGGTCTAGGCGTTAGATGTTTGCGCATGAGACCGAAGGTCGTAGGTTCGAGGTCCCTTGGCACGAGATCTTGGATGCACACTGCTGAGAAGTCTCCTACTAGAACGTAAAGGCTGTTCTTTGCTTCCAGTTATTTTAATGGCTGTTTAACATTGATCGATTTATGAACTCAATCAAAAAATAACTGAGGTCAGTGATAATAAGTGATTTATGGATATTTGTGTAGAAATTAGGATCGAATGCTGTCAGGGATGCTTGCATATATCCACGTTTACGAAACTAAACTTTAATAAATGAATATGATTGTTTTTTTAGTTTTTTTCGGGATTTTGTGAACATATTTTTGTAAAATAACTGATGAGTTAATGTTCCAGCAGAAATTTTGGGGCTATTTACGGATGTTTAATAGGTAGCTTTTTATTAATGTCAAAATGTTGAAATCAACATGTAAGCAACGTTGTTTATAAAATGAGACTAAGCTTATAAGCCTTAGAAATATTTGTATTAAGAACTAGTAGGGTCTCTCATAAAAAGTCATATTTGTTGAAGCTTGATTTCGATAGAAGAAAACTTACTTGCGACTAATTTCAACTGATAAATCCTACAGTCCTATTGAGAAGCCATAACCAATGGACCTCAGGTAAGTCAAGTATGAGAAAGATATCCATTGCAGGCAATGGAACTAAACGTACAGTGTCGGTAATTGAAGCTGGACACAAAAACCATCCGTTGTCTGCTCAGTGGTGTAAAAGTTAAACGTGCTCCTGGAGACGTCAGTGTATATTCTTTAGACGTCCCATATCAGAACTTAGCAGCTCTCCAATGCTTCCTGGTTTTTAAACGTTATCTAACTTGGATTCGTCTGGGATATCAGCTACGCAAAAGTAATTTGTACCAATCACCTTAAAGTGTAAATGATATCATAGTACGTAAAACATGTATGGTTCATCAAGCAGATTTCCCATTTCCACAACAGTTTCACTAACTTCCATGAAGACAATCACGTAGTATAACTAGGTTGTGCTACAAACAGGTTGAAAACTAGAAAATTATTTCTGTATTTCATTACATCCAATATTATACATTATAGGTAACGTCGTTTAATAGTGAGAACAGGCTTCACATTTTAAAAAAAAAAGTGAATAGCAACCGAATACAATTAAGCAGTTTCGTTTTTATTTCAGATTCACCAATTAAATTTTCCTCCGACAACTCATTATTGATGTTCGTGATGAGATTTTAGACATAGTACCTTTCCTTCCAAGTGTTTAACACATTATCAATTGAGTAACTAAGTTCAATTATCTACTCATTTTACTGAGACTGATCTAAATTCTATTCTAAATTAGGGAGTTGTTTTATGGATATTATAGTAATTTAGTAGTCGAATTCATAAGTCAATTAACGCTAAACCGTCATAGAAAAGCTGGATACACTGGACAGTCGTTTCGTCCTAATATGAGACTCCTCAGCAGTGCACATCTACGACTCCACCTCGTTAGGTTCGAATCCAAGACCTATTAGTCTCGCATGTGAACACTTAGCCTCTAAACAACTGAGCCAGCATCCAACGATGTTAATGTCTAACTTCAGTCAATCCACGATATTGCTCCATGATCACTTCTTCTTATTCTTGCATTAATAAACTTTTTTTTAAAAGAATCTCTTTAATCTCATGTAAATTGTTTGTTTTTCCCCACCCCTACCCCCACCTACCTACTCCTACCCCCTAGTACATGTATATTGTCAACGACATTTATTAGAAATTTGTTTCTTACCAATGAATCAATCACCATATGAAAATTTAGCTGAAAATTTACAATTACATCATTCCATTGCATTTATTACAAATTTAACAATCTATCAAAAATTGATTAATACTTGTATATTAAATATAAAAAATTCTGGTTTATATCATAAACAATGGAATAATACAATATTAAATTATAATAAATTCAATACAAAACATATATGGTGTAAAACAATTGATTGGAGACAAGAATCAACAAATATACCATGTGGTCTTAGTATTACTGAATATATGGTAAGTAAATATGAATGATTTAAATGATTTTGTTTTAATAAAGTAGCTTCTTTTTTTGGCATTTCTTGTTGTAGTATGAAAGTCGGCTGAATTCTACGGTATTATGCTAAAAGATATTATTCATAAACGAATTCATGATTGACATTGCTTTCGACAAAATACTATTGTCGAAAAAATTTTCATAGATGTAGATAGCATAACTCTCTTTCCCACCTTCGACGCTTTCTTCGCGGCTTTACCAGACACAATTTCAGGAGGTATCATTTTGTAGAAGAGGATGAGGAAAGAGAGTTATGATAACTACATCTATAAAGTTCATTGTCAAGTTCATCTTGACACTGGTATCTCATCGAAAGCAATATATATCATTTTTTATTTCTTAGTTAGTGATAGACAATTCAAAGTAATTTACTGGAAACACTACTTGATTTAGAATTTCTTGTTAGCTATTGGTTGTCAGTATGGTGTATATAATATTCAAAGGAATTAATGATTTCTAATGGATTCCATCTTATCTTACCAAGCATCACTGTCTATAATATTAGGACTAAGATAGTTTATAACTGATTGATTACTAAGTAGGATTAGATAAACATGACATTAGTCCTTACTTAGTGATCAATCAATCTGTGAGATAAGTTAATGTTTACAATAATTCAATAGTCTAATAATTAGTTAACACTCTGAAATTTGAAGTATTTCAAAGAATCAAGATAATCAACTTATTAGAAAACGATTATCATCAACTGATGAGGTCCATTCAAAAACAAAACAACCATTTATCATTTCACATTAGTTAATGTTAACCTAATTTATTTTATATTACTTAATAAACATTTTATTCTTTAGATTTTTTTTATAAGAAAATCTCTTAGTAACTATATAAAGCATAATTAAACTAATTCTCAACTAATTCAATAATCCGTTAACAACAACAACAATAACAACGAAAAAAAAACAACAAAATATGATTTTAACATTTAAACTAATTTAATTTAATATGTAATCAGGTTGTTTTCTGTTTTTTTCAATTTATCTTGTTTGCATAGGTAATAAGTAAATTTTCCAAGCCGATTTTTTAAAATATTTATTTCATTAGTACGATAGGGAAATGTTAATTAACACTCACACACATCCACACATACATACATACATACATACATACATACATACATACATACGTATATTCGTATGAAATAAAAGTACACGATTCACTTCCTAAGTTACTTCATTACGAAAGATGACATAAAAATCATGTCAAGTATATTTTAATCATAAAATTATTATCAGAACTGGTTTTGTGGAGATTTTTTTTGAAATTTCACTGGTTGGAATCATGAGTCAATTGGAGCTAGACCGCAATAGAAAACCTGGAAGCACTGGACGGCCGTCCTGTCCTAGTATGGGACTCCTCAGCAGCGCGAGATTCGAACCCAGGACGTATCAGTCTCGCGCCAGGTGCTTAACCAACTACACCACTGAGCCGGCATCCAACGGTGATAATGTCTAACTTATTGAAGATATTTGATTCAGTTTTGAATCTTATAAAGAGAATGGAATTCATTTAAAATTATTGAAGAATGCTAACTATCTTCTAGATCTACGTATCTGAATTTCTTATCGATTAAATCGAACTAGGTAAAATCTAAGTATAGTGTGTACAATGTTGAGTAATTTAGATTAATGGTCATATTGAAACTTGAATGATAGAATTTGATCTGAACTATAAGACTAGAAAAAGATTATATTTGTTACTGAGATCTAATGAGTTAATCATAGAGTAAATGAAATTTCGGGAAAGTGTATATCTCGATAATGCAATGGGAAGACAAATTTTATCAGAATTATGTAATATATTTGTGTAATACATTTCGAACCATCTGATCACATATTACTTACTTACGCCTGTTACTCCCAATGGAGCATAGGCCGCCGACCAGCATTCTCCAACCCACTCTGTCCTGGGCCTTCTTTTCTAGTTCCATCCAATTCTTGTTCATTTTTCTCATGTCTATTTCCATTGCTCGGTGTAATGTGTTCTTTGGTCTTCCTCATTTCCTTTGGCCTTGAGGATTCCATGTGAGCGCTTGCATTGTGACGCAGTTGGGTGATTTCCTCAATGTGTGTCCTAACCACTTCCAGCGCTTCTTCCTGATTTCTTCCTCTTCTGAGATCTGGTTTGTTCTCTCCCACAGTACGTTGTAGCTAATAGTGTCCGGCCAACGGATCTGAAGTATTTTGCGTAGACAACTGTTAATAAACACCTGTATTTTCTGGATGATGGCTGTTGTAGTTCTCTAGGTTTCTGCCCCATACAGTAGAACTGTCTTGACATTTGTATTGAAAATCCTGACCTTGGTGTTGGTTGACAGTTGCTTTGAGTTCCAGATGTTCCGAAGGAATTTGGCTTTCATCATGAGGCGTCATACTTCGCCTAAATGAAGACCTTCTGACTCCCACGGCAGAGTTTAAAAGGTTTGAATAATTTTTTCTGGTTGGCGTTTTTTAGTGAGTTAGTTTTCTATGGGATAGGGACGCTAACCCCATGCCCAACCCTCCTCCTTTATCTGGGCTCGAGACCGGCAGTGGCCCTCGGAGGGACTCCAGGCGGAGTTGATCACATATATACTTGTTAAAATATATTTATATGAAAATTAAAAGATCAACTAAACAGATTAAAGGCAATCCGAAATGTATTACTCAAATATACCACATCATTCTGATAAACTTCGTCTTCTCATTGTATTATGGAAATTTATCAAAGGGATTAATTGTTTTAAAGTGTGTATCATTTTGTTCATTTATTAATTAGATGTTGGACGGCAAATTGTAAATCTTTAAAGTATTATAACTTGTGGCCTTGTGCCCTATTAATATATGAAGTAATGATAACGCAAATTAGAGAATAATAATTTATCGACCAGACCAATGATGTATAAAATCCGTACGAGCACTCTAGAGTCTTTATCAGTCCTTCTCCCTGCCTGTCAAGTCCGGAACATCAATCTCAACCTCTGTGATATGACTGGGTTTATATACAAACCAAACAGACAACATCGCACCATAAAATAGGAAACAACATTTGTAAAAGATCTAGTCAAAAGTGGGTGTGAAATTGGGAGACTGTAATTAACAGACTGAGCATAACTCAACAATGGTAAATCGTATAATATTACTTTATGGGTTAAAATAAAGGTTTTAATAAGAGAAACATGAATATGCATAGTTTAGCTACTTAATAATTATACAACAAAAATATATGTATCGTAATGGTGCATAAATAGTTCACAAAAATCTTAACAATAAACTTTGATGACATCAATGAAATACTAGATCATTATCATTCTAGTATGTTAACAAGTAATTTAGCCGCGTAAATGAAAGGATATCTTTCTGAATCAGTAAGTAAATTAGACCCCTTGAAAAGAACAGAAGATCGTCAAGCAATATTTTTGATTGATTTAAGTTAGAAATTAACACCACTAGATAGGGACTTAGTGGTCTGGAGGTTAAGCGTTCATTCGCAGTGCCAAATGTCCCAAGTTCCATTCCTGCTTGGAAGTCGTGGATGTACATTGGTAAAGAGTCGCACAGTAGGACAGACATTATTTTGATTACTTTAAATGATCTTTCAATGAAAATTACTTTATTCAGTGATAGTTACAGTAATTACAGAATGCACATCTGTTTGATTGTTCCATTATTAAAATGTAACAATTTCAATCGTATCATCTAAATAGAATATGACAACATCAGATCATTGATTATTTTTATTATCTCAGTAGTTGATTGGAATAGGAATGGCTTACGTTGAATGGTTTATGTACTTTAATCGATAAATTATATGGTTACAAACATGATATACTTAAATTTGTTATGTAACAATAACTTTGAATACCTAATTCATCATTTGGATATAAATCTTCTAAAGGCATATTATTGAATTCGTATTATTATATGACTAAATGTACTGAATATCAATGTTCACTGGTGACACATTTTCCATAATGACACAGTTGTATTAGTTAGATTTGCATGACGTTACATGAATTTCGATGAGTGGAGACTATATATATATAAGTTCTTGTTTTTATCGACACTCAACAACTGGAGATATTTAGTCTTAAAGAAACTACAACAAAATTGAAATCATCGCTATTACTATCTAATAAAGCCTAATGAATAGATGTGTTAACATACTCTGGAAACCAATGAAGATTAATTTAATTTTTGATGGTTTGAACTATTCCGTTTTTGATATATGTGCATTCTGTACGGGTTGGTTTGATATAGCCATTATGATAAAATGTAACATGAAATAAGGAAAATCTGGCTGGTACTGGGATCCAAAACACCAGTTTCATCCAGGTTTGGGACTCGTTAGAATAAATTGACCATATATCAGTCAAAATATTAATAATAGGATAATCAAAAGCATTACAAATTTGGTTAAAACTTCATAATATCGACTGGACAATTTGAGATCGATATCTAAGTGGATAACGCGTTGGCGTTTGCTTGACCATTTTGCAATGTGACATGGCCCAACCCTACTAGCCATCGCTTCTCATTAGGACTCCTTGGATTATCTCTCGAAATCAGTTCCTCCTGAATACACTATTATTATTAGAGAATTGAGTATTTGTGGAGATTGCTGAATTTCCATACTGTGCATTACGGACTGATCTTTTTTAGACAACCAATGAAGACCAGAAAAAAATTATACAGCCGTTTTTATCTTAATATTGGGACAAACCACGAGTGCACATCTACGACTCAAACGTAATGTAAAGTATAAAATTTTAGTCATTTCCACAAAGTTTGCTTTACGACTTCTAGTTATATATATGTAAAAACAGTTAACAACATTTTATTCAGCAGTTTACACGATCACTTCATGTATTATTTTTTATCATAATGTAATCATATTTTTCCTCTCTTGTAGACTGGTGATTTATATACTGGTTACTTGGCTATAATTACAAACCAAGAATATCGTAACCATGAAGTTGATTTCTTGTTTCAATTTACATGTAAAACTAATAATGATGTACCGCATCGGGTACCTGGACAAGTTTTCGAAAGGTAGGGATACAGTTCTATAAAATACACTACATATTCATGAACAAAAGACTTAGTTTAATACACAGACCAACTATATCTAGAGAGTTATTGTGAATCAAGGTGCACTGGGCAGCAGCTTTGTCTTAGTATTTGTTTTCCCATATGACACATGATAAAAACAACGCGCCTAACTTTTGAACAACTGATAGTTGATTAGTATCGTGAATTCATTGAAGTTAGAAATGTAAGCCATAGGATATTTACTTAATAGTCTGAAATTCGAGCACACTCTGGGAGATTGAACGTTATGTGTTTGATCTGTGACAGTATAGCGGATACTCGCTGTTGGGAAGTACTGTACTAATTCAAAGCAGATGTCCATTGCTTTACCAAACTATAAATATGAAGCTCATAACCTTTGCTCAGTTTTCCTCAGCAGTTAAAAATACAATGAACTGCGAATCATGAGAGCTATTTTAATTCGTTTTTTTTCGTAGAGTAGTAGCTTACTAATATTTATTATAATGAGTATTGTGTAAGCAATTATTATGGTATTCAACACTCTCAGTTTTCTCTATTGATTTTGTTTTTTTAATTTTTCTTGAAATACATTTGGTATTGCTTGCTTGTATTTTCCTATTTGTTACAACTTATAGGTTTGTGCCCCTGTCAATGTATAACGTAATGACACCGCCAATTAGAGAACAGTGCTTTATCGACCGGACCAATGGAGCACAAAACTCATACGAGCAGTCTAGAGTCCCAATCAGTACTGCTTCTTATTATAACGGTTAGGTTTCCACGTTTACATGTATGGGATGTTAATTTACCTTAGACGAATATCTACACTAGATTCTCTCCAAGTGTCTATTCTACAGGACTTCAACAAAACTCAGACCAAGAACACGTGATTAGCCTGACTAGAATGTAAATATATTTTCACACCAAAACCCGACACAATCCAACAACAATAAACAATCAACAATAAGGATAGGGGAATATATAACTCATTTGACACCTGTCAGACTATCTATATGTCTGACTAAGCAAACAACTAATCATTATCATTATAGCCCACACATCACTTCTTGCCTAGCCCCGCCTGTTAAGTCCAGAACATCATTCTCAACCTCTGTGATATGAATCATGCATTTTAAACATGCTAGGTTTATATACAAACCAAACAGACAACATCGTACCATAAAATGGAAGATAACATTTGTACAAGATCTAGTCAAAAGTGGGTGTGAATGTCAGAGACTGTAATTAACAGACTGAGCATAACTCAACAATGGTAAATCGTATAATATTAGTTTATGGGTCAAAATAAAGGTTTTAATAAGAGGAATATAAATATGCATCGTTTAGTTAATTAGCAATTATACGTTAAAAATATACATATATTATTAGTCCAGAAATAGATTCTAACAGTTACCATCCATTATTCTCATCGGATATAACACCATTGTTGTTTAGGACTGTCATTGATCAGTCTTTTGGTAACCACCATCTGTCTTTGCTTATAAATTTCCTTGAATAATTTTTTTTTCAAGATTTTATAAATTTTGTGACCATATACACACTACATTGACTGAATTCATCCTTTACGATATATCAAGTCGTCTTAATGCCTAAACAAACTCTTGAAAAAAACCCGGAAGCTAGGACATCCAGTGAATAAATTCATTGGAAGATTATACACACTCAAAAAACAACGACAACAACAACAACAGACGGTTGTATCACTATACATTTGAAATATAAACTGTTTGAATAACAATGGTTTAATCATTTACTATTCAGCTAAAATATATCTTTGTACTTCTGTGCAATTCTAATCTCTTTTCCATTCATTCGGTTAAAACACAAATGAAATAATTTCATGTCAAATGAAAATATATTAAGAATTAGATTAAAGGAAATATCTATTCTCTGCCTGTCTGTCTATCTATCTATATGTCTGTCTGTCTAACTATCTGGTTATCTGATTTTCCATTTCCTCTTTCGTCTTTTTTTTATATGATGACCAACTATAGTGCGCATAAATTGTCATTTTTTCCTTTTTATTTTCCGGAATATAATCAATTGTAGACGTGGTATAGTTAGTTACATTTAGTACATCTTAGAGATATAAATTCATAAATGGGTACCCGTTAACATAAACAGTAATATATAAATGTATATACAATCAGATAGAATAATCAAACGAATTGGTATTCAGTAACTTGACATTATCAACAACTTGTTTTACCATTTGCAATAAAAAACTTTTTTTTAAGAAAAAGTTAACTTTTCGTATAAAAATAGTCTCGTCTATATATATAACAATACAGTTCATAGTTATCTCTAGCTTTGAAATGAATTTCTTAATGTATCTCTTATAAAAGTGTAACTAACGAGATCAGTTGGTCAGGAGCAAGACATATGTATTACCGATTACATGAACACTGCTAATTAGTTAATTTTGTCTCAACTATCTAAAAATAGTGGTGTATTTTGTGTAAGATATCATTATTCTGATTTCATAACACTTGAATTAGGTTATGCCTGTATAGTACTCTAATAAAATATAAATTATCTATTATAATAAGTAGAGATGGATGGTGACTAGCAGTGAAATCCAGGCCGTGCATTTCGTCCAATTTGAGACTCGTCAGCCGAAAGAACTTGCATCCCAGTGTTGATGTTTATTTCAAGACTTGAACCCAATACAAAAATGGATATCTATTGTAATTCTTGTTTTTCAATAATTTAACAGTTGTTCTCACTTTATGTGATAAAAAATAACGGTGAGACTATAATTGATGAACGAACCAATCAGATGTAAGAAAACAGATCTTGAATTTCGGTGCGGCATTCATTCATTTATTTGTCTAAATAGCGTTTTGGCATTTGAACTGATGTTAGTTCGTGATGAAAACCCTAAATCTAATTCCTAACCCAAACAATCAACTGTAAATTATTATTATAATTCCTCACATTGGTTTATAACCCTAGTCCTAATTGGTAGGTGACTATTCTCGAGGTCACTTTGGAGTCGCTCAAATGTCGTCCATAGACTATAGTCTCACCCGTGATACAACTTAGTTTTAATCATTTATTTCTAGTTTATTTCGTTATTATATGATGTAAACAGTAATAGTATCTAAAGTATTAATGTTAATGTGAGAATAACTCCCACTTTTTGTATAAAGGATAGTCAAATGTATGTCTAGTTGGTTAGCTCCTTTATTCTTCCAACTAGTCTTAAAAATCTACTAAGTGTTGAGTAATCAAGAAATGATCTTTTCATATCTTATATTCGTTATAATAACTGTCATTAAAATATTTATATTCCTGACGAAAACGTATCTTCATACCGTTAAAAGATTTCATTTATCAGCAGTTAATTTCAAAATAATGTATATTCCTTAACTAGATCATTCTAGAGGTGGTTCAAGGAATTCTACTGAGGAATTTGGGCATCAGACAGGTCTCCAGCGACCAAATTAGATTATGCTGACATTACGTCGTGAGATAATTAAAGTTACAACCGTAAACCATTGAATGCCAACTTAGTGATCAAAAGGCTAATAACTCATAGCTAAACCTAAGAGTCCATGGTTTGACATCAGGTGAAGTTCTTTTTGCTTAGTGTAGAGGAGTCTTATACTAGGACAGCTATATAAGCCCAGTTTATGATGTAAACCATAACTCCGACTCTCTAGTAATCCAAATTTGATACTCTTTACAGATGTTTGTTTCGTTTTATGATAATTTCCATCACAGAGTGATATCAACTAGGGAATTAGTGGAAACAGTATTAATTGGAAAGTTGTAATCCCAGATTTTGTACCGTTCTGTTGACGTGTTAAAAAAACCTTAAACGTGTTGCAACAATATTTTGTGAATGAACTAAGCAAATACTATCTGTTTTATTTTCACACTAAATTAACTTATTCATATGGCTACAGAGCAATTCTTCTTATAGCTATTATCAGTTCATGATGAAAACTCCCATCTCAACTCTCTGATCCGTACCCTAAATACATAACCTTAGCCAGCAACAATGTAGAGACTTTAAAAAATATATTTCGGTCCTAATAAGGGCTCTAGGATACAGATAGAAAATAATCCATTTGTTTTCTGACAGACTATTAACTGGCTATTATTTTGTCACGGTTATTTTAAACTCATTCTTTCTATTATTACCATTATCTGAAATAAAAAGACAAATGCAAATTGAACTATTTGTTTTAATCATTTGAATTTATCAGTATTGAAATTTGTGGAGATCGTTGTATTTTAACGGTCGAATTCACGAGTCAATCTAAGCTTGATAACCACTGAAGCACTGGACGACCATTTAGTCCTAGTTGGGATTCCTCAGTAGTGCGCAGTCCTGTTCTAGCACGCAGGACTTGATATCTAACTTCAATCGATCCACGATCTTTAGCAACCCTTGAGGTAGATAACTGTCTCACATCTGACCTGAACTGAAGTTCATTAGTCATGGATTCTCACTATAATCCTATCTTGAAGCTAGTCATTAGTGATTATTATACGTATGGGGATTTGTGGAGGTTGTAGTATTTTCACAGTTAAATTCATTTTAATTCACATTGTTACTGGGTACTAGAGCAGAATAAAATAATCGACACTTTCTGAATCCCAATAATTTATTTGATTAATCGAACAATAGTGGTGTATTCTTATTTTCATCAGTAATTTTAATACTTGATTTGATGTGTACAATGACGTGATTGTAAGTTCACCTACATTTTCTTAGCCATAAGTATATACATGATATGTATTAAATGATACAGTTTATACTCTTATCTCTTTATAATCAAAATGCACAATTTTTAGTATTGATACCATATATCATCAATTATCTATGTGTAGTTCTTTTGTTATCGATCTTTAACTCAATCTCTCCCTCTCTCCGTTATCCTATTTCTTTCTCTCTATATTCGTTAGTCCCTTGTCAAGACTTTTGTTTGTAATATATTCTCATCGTCATCATCATTCTCATCGTCAGG